CACCCTCTGCTGTTCCCTGCGCTCTTCCGCTGGCACCGGAGCCTCTGAGCCAGCGACCCCGGCAGAGCCAGAGGGAGGAGCGGGACTTCAGAGGCTGGACTGTCCGCCTTGGGAGAAAGCGATAAGGCCCTTAAAGGACACTGGGACAGGCTGGGTGGAAAGCCCAACTCACCTTCTTCATTCTGACTGAGGCAGATTTTTACGGTTTTCTTAATTAGGGCAGAAGTTGCCGCCCTAACTTTCATTACGTGGGACCCGAACGTCCTTGGCTGCACTTACTAGTGGTGCGGGTTCTTTGGAGTCCTTGCACATTATATTGCAGCATTCTTCCCTCTCTCCGTAACTGTCCGAAAACGAACGAAGCTCAAACGCTACTTTGTGGAGTTTGATTTTTATCTTTTATTATCTATAATTATTTGAATTATAATTGCTTATTTTTACTATCTTATCAGAATTATTTGAACGCCTATCTCCCACTTCTACTCTTGGCATTCTCGGTTCATACTGTATGCTGTATGGTACAGAGCATTGGAGAGGGAGCATTAAATACTGATTCAACTTGAACTGATGAAATGCAAGTTGGTATCATCAAAATAAACTTATGTTCAGACACATAAATCACCAGTATTAAGTACTATGATCATTAGAAGACACAACAGTTTGTTTCCAAAGGCTACATGCTTTTAAAATACTTTAAGATACTGTTATGAGAATTGTTACAAGTTCCATTAGTAACCTGCTAAATTAGGAATGTTATCTGGACTTTTTTTTTTCAAATAATAACAATGCAAAAACACATGGTATTTGACATGTGCCAGGCATTATTCTAAAGCATTTTCTAGTATTAACTCGTTTATGTAAAAGACTGCCTCTAAAGGAACTAGTGCTCTATTATTTCATACTTTGCCCACCCTTTGCCAATAAGGACAGGAATTTTTAAAAGTGCTTTCTCAGCTTACTTGCCACCAACCTATTTTTGTCATGTACAGGAAATGTAGCTTTCCTGTTAGTTGATTCACAATGAATTGTAGTCATTTAATAATTTGCACAAGCTGGTTTGCCACTGCTTGATATGCAAGGAAGATATACACATATATTAAAAAAAAAACAAGAGAACAATATATGAGAATGGCTTCTAAAAATAGTCTGATCTCATTGCAAGGGCATACAAACCAATCCAATTGTTGTGAGGTGCACATGGTACTATTTTTAAATGGCTAAATACTAAGTTGTGGTCATTCAGACTCAGAGGAGACAAGATGTGATGGGGCTTTAAGAACATAAGATTGACTTCTAGAGTACTGTAACAGCCATTCTTAACATAGAATCTCCCTCCCAAGATACCAATGTTAAAATTTAGTTTTAAACTTTCTTCAGATTGCTGTTAAAATAAACTCAAACGTCTGTTAATGGGAGACTGATGAAATAACTATGATATAGTCACACAATGTAGAGCTATGCAGGTGCGAAAAAAAAAAGGATCGAGAAATATCTCTGTATACTGCAGGATATATTATAGAGTGGAAAAAACACAGTTGAAAAATGTGTAATATGCTATCCTTTATCGAGGAAAGGGAACATATGTATGTATTTTGTATATAAATTGTTATTTACAAGTAGAATAACAACATTAAAATGATTACCTATAGGGAGAAGGAGGGAATACAGGTATAGGGGACAAAGAAGATAACTTCTCTGAATATACATTATACAGATGTGACTTTAGAATCATGTAAATATTTTACGTTATAAAACAAAATTAAACTAAAAAAAGAGTAATCCTTGAAAATTGAAAGTAAAATGAAACTAAAGGAATCTAAGTGCTATCCAGTTGTGACATATATAACACAACAGAAGAACTATCCCACGTGATTTTGAAACAGAATTTGTGCATCCTGGTGGGACGTAACTTCACTACTAAAAGAATTACAAGAAATCATGAACTGTTTTCAGAAGCCAAATTATTGGTGGCAATGTTGGTTTGAATAAACCAAACAGGAGTAATTAAGATGGTATCTTTGAAGCTGAAATTTTTGACATGCAATATGGGTGTAAGACCGGTGAAGTTATATAAAAATCCTATAGTTACAAATTTGAAATAGAGGTAATAGTATGAAGTAACAATATATTTCATCCTTTAAAAAAAAAAAACAAAAAACCTCCTCCATCATCCACTGAAGAGACCTAGAAACAACCAACCGTATAGCAAGAAGCATTCCTCGAGCCCAGACTGTGATCTCTGCAAACCATTTTCACTTTTAAGGAAATGAGTTCCATAGAAAAATGGATAATTTGGGATACTCACAGAAAAATGATCATAGATATGGGACAGGAAAT